AATATATATTTTAATTATAGCATAATATAATTGTAAAAATTACACATAAAAAGGCCCGTCCATCACCCATGATTAATTTGAGTAAAGTCTAAATAAATTAAAAGAAAAGACAGGCCACTCATTAAAACAACAACACGACATATTACGAAAGAAACATAAAATTATAATATACTTTTTAATTATAATGATATATAATTTTTTCTTATAATAATATTATTTTTATTCAAAATTAATTTTATAATAATGGGTATCATCAATATATTATTAAAAACTCTACCACCAAGATTTAAAATAATATCACTATTCATAAACAATTTGATTAATCTGATTAAAATAATATAAATCTGGGGCTTCCATTCATATAACTTTATTTAATGCATGCATGTGACTTGGCCTGGTTTGGGACTTTTAAAACCATTATTAAAAGGGTGTTTGGATAGAATCAAACTCATAGTTTTAAAAGTACTTTTACGGTATACGAAGTAAATATGTAGAGGAGTTTATCTCGATTTGCAGAAAAGTACTTCTGAAAAGTACTTTTTATGGTACCCAAACATCCCCTAAAAACTCCTTCAAAATCATTCTTGACCATTATCAAAACCCTATAAACAATAAAAGATTTTATCTAAACTGCATGTGATGAAAATTATTTACTAAAATGTTACACTAAAAATTATTTGTGCCAAAAACAATTTTAATTTTACAAAGAAATCGTTTTTGTTAAGAACGATTTCGCTTTCACTTTAATCCCTTTTCCCATCATATCACTCTATTAGTCTGACAATTTTATTTTTTTTAATAAAAAAGTGAAACCGTTCATCTTAAAGAGCAATTTTACTTTTTCTCTCACTTTCCTAGTCCGACATCTCACAAGAATTATTTACAAATTAATTATTTAGCTCCTATATTAATGACAAAAGATAGTAATATTTTTGTATCATTTTTGCAAAATCAAATTGAATTACTATTAGAAAATTTCAGGCAATGTATAGTTAACAATGAACATTTTTTGTAAAAAAAAAAATTTTAAGATTAATTTAAGGTTAATACAATTTTTAGTTCACCAAATTTGCTTTCATTTTGATTTTGGTCACTTAAGTTTCAAATCATATGGTATAGGTTTTTATTAAATTATATAGACCAATATTTTAAATAGAAAAAAACTTGAGGGATCAAGACCTATAGTTTGAAACTGAAATTTATGATTCTCATGCTATTTATTGTAGATGCTAGATTGAAAAAGTGAGAAAAAAGTGAAATTATTATTTCACTTTTTTCATTAAAGAAATAAAATTGTCAAAGTGATAAAGTGATATGATGGGAAGAGAGATTAAATTGAAAGCAAAATAGTTCTTAGTAGGAATAATTTCTTTACAAAATTAAAATTGTTCTTAGTATGAACGGTTTTTAGTATACATTTTGATAAATAGTTTTCACTTTAGGTAAAATCTTTTACTGTTTATAGGGTTTTGGTAAAAATGCCCTCTTAGTAGTGTTGCTTAAATATTATTAAAATTGGTGCAAAATATCCATAAAGTAAGTTATGAAATGTCGTGTGTTGGTATATAAAGAAATTAGGTGACAAAAGAGAATAAAGTATTAGATAATCATAAACTTGAAGACAAGCGAGAATAAATGTGATGATATAGCACTGTGGTATTGTTCTTCTGATCTATTTCCATGAAGCCATTATATTATTATAAATTTTAATACATATGCTGAGGCTTTGTTTTTAAATCCATTATTTTTTTTATTTATACACTCAACTTGCTTTGCTATGCAGGATCATAATAACACCTTCTCCATGGAATGTAGAAGCAGTGGTAAATGAAGTCTTTTAATTACTTTTTGATAGAGCTGAAACTTGTATTTTAATACGTTTCTGTATAGATATTGCAGAGGGAAGTCTTTTTCTGATCGGGAAATCTTGCATAAGTTTTATTTTTGTCATTGAATGAGAGCAAAAAACAGTGCTCAAGCCATCTACTTTATGTTGTCGAGTTTCTTTCTTTCTTTAATGCAACTGTGTGTATTATCTTTACTGAATGTTATGAAACATTTTGACACTGGCAGATGTGAATAGTTTTGTTTCTTGGTCATTTTAAGAACCTTTGATATCAACTTTCATTACAAGTCGTTGACTATTTTAACTGAATTGAAATCTTTTTCTTAATGATACTGTTTTTTTCTTTTTAGGTACCAAACTAGGGCTGAGCAATGGGCGGGTTAGGCTAACCCGAAGGTTATCCCATAGCCCGCCCATTTATTCATAAATGGGCATGGGCTAACCCATAACCCGGTAGTAGCCCATTTAGCCCATATTAAATGGCTACAGGGCAGCCTCGTTTGGGCTGACCGGGTTACGGGGTAACCCATTTATTTTTTAAACTTTTTTTCAGTATAATTATTTTATAGATGTAACCTTATGAAGCTGTCAATAAATTTTGCATGCCAAATAGCAATCAAATATGAAATAACATCAACCATATTCAATCACACAACCTCACTTAGATTCACAAACAATTAAAGTCTGATAAAATCATAAAATAGTCACAATCATAAAGTCTCATAAACTTTGAAAGTTCCAACTTTTACCTAAAGGATAAAATAAAAACTTAAACAAGCATGAAGGTTTTGATAAATATGAATGAGAAACAATACCATCAATTAAATGAAGAATAAAAATATTTTAAAAACTTAAAACTTAAATGGGCGCGGGTATGGGCAGCCCAATACCTTGCCCATAGCCCCAACCCGTTTAAATGGGCTACCCCGTCCATTTAAGCCCGCCCGTTTATAATCTCTTATTTGGGCTAATTGGGCGGGCTTAAATGGGCAAAAAATTTTCATTGGGTCATGGGCGGGCTAGTGGGTAATGGGTTTGTTGCTCACCCTATACCAACATTGGCACCCTTCGCATATGAATGAAATGAAACCAAATTAAAGTGTTGAATCGGATGGCCATAAATCTTTTAGAAAGCAGGCGGCAATTCATATGTGAAGGAGGAAATTCTCAATCAATCCATGTTCTGCTATCGCTATCAACAAAAATCAAGTACAGTCACTTTCCCTGGATGGACATTTTGTGGGCCAAAACGAGGTTTTAAGCAGTTGATAAGCCCGATTGGTTATATAAGAGTGTTTGGGATAGTTTTTGGACATCCCACTTTAGCTTCTAATCGCTGATCAACCGTGTGTTTATTAAAAAGCTACAAGAGAAGAACTTTTTAACAGTGGTATCGTGCTTATACTGGACCGTTTGGAATTGACTGGAAAAAAAAAATACTGGACTGTTGCAAAATTATTTTCTTGTCAGATGTATTTTTAAAATTATTTTCTTGTCAGATGTATTTTTATTTTCACATTATATTTACAATATTTTTTATGATTTCTATGAAGTTTTAAAATTTAATTTACTCTTTCAATTTGACTTCTTATATTAAATTATTTAAATTTCACTATATTATGTAAAAGCATTTTTTTAACCATGTTTCATTATTTATTAAAACTCATATCTATTTTGGTAATTTTGTAACCAAACTTATTTTTACTCAATTATAATCCAAATAACTTTTTACCAATCTTATTTTTACAAACCAACTTTTCTTCCAATCCAAACATGATTCAACTTATCCAATTTAACTTTTACCTTACTCTACCTTTTTAATAAGTTACTTTTCCAATCGTTAATCCAAACGGACCCTTTGTCATGTTGGGATCCATTTACCGAAACCAGTTTTCACACATGATTCACATTACATTGCTCTATCGAGATTGAAAAGCATAAGTAGATTGAAGATTTGTGTGCCTAATAATAGAACTGATATTAAGATGACTTAAATATGATCATTTTTGGCAAATAATAGAGGATAGAATTTTATTTCCTTTTTTCTGTCAACAATGTTAGAATTTTTTTAGTTCGTTATTATGTGATATGGCATATTTATCCAAATACTACTATTTATGTATATGCTGCATTTTTTAGAAACTTGTTCGGGCTAAGTTTGAACCTCCATCCTGACACTTATTTTTTAAAATAAAAAAGTGGAACTCGCACAGCCAATATTATGATCTTATCTTTTCACATGCATTCAAAATTATAATTAAATACCCTGTTTCATTTACTTTTGCCACGTTTCCTACCTTTTGAATGTTTGGAGCGAATTACAATTAATTTTTTCCGCTCTTTGGTATCCACCCCTTCCATTTTTTTAGTGATAAATTTGTATCCAATATTATGATCTTTTTTTTTTTTAATGTACGTTCAAAATTCTGATATTTATATGGTATATTCAGTACTTTGATATTATTTTTTAGTTACATCTAATACCTTAATTTTTAAGGAGTTGAATGTAATAAAAATAAGATTAGGGTGCTATATGTACTTTTACCTTTTCCTTTATTTCACATCTCCTTTTAAATAAAAGTAATTTTTTTTACAAAATCTACTCAAATTGTTTTTATTGAGAATGAGATATAGAATAAAGGAAAGGGTAAATATGCATATAATATCCTAATCTTATTTTTGGTGCATCCAACATGTTAAAAATTAAGGTGTTGGATATAACTAAAAAATCGTATTAGGGTACTGAATACACCATATAAAAAAACATAATTTTAAATGTCGCTTTTATTCTGAAAAAAATGGAAAGGGTAGTAGTCGGGTAGATATGAAAGGATAGAAAATTAATTGTAATTTTGTCCAAGGTTCAAAAAGCCAAAAAGGTGGGAGGCGGAGCTGAAGCAAATGAAACCGGGTATTTAATTGTAATTTTCATCAAAATGAAAAAGGAGAAGCTTGAAGTCGTTCCCCTTGTTTACTTAAAGTTTAGGTGTCAGAGTAGAAGTCTTTGCAAAAAAACAGCATATCCATGTTACCGTTTATAGTATTTGGATAAAAATGTCTATGTTATACTCATCGGAAAACATCAAAGACACCCAAATTTGGAAGGAGCTGAAATGAGGGTCCAGGGAGGGAGGGACGGAAGGGTAGATTTTTGGCTACCGGTCAAAAATTTCTAACCAAACGCCTCCCCTAGCCTCCCCTCAAACCAATCAGGCCAAGTACCTCAGTGGCATGGAAGTAGCTTGGGCGCATGTCGAAGTCTGAGTTTGCGAGGACAAGGGAATGTCAGGTGTAGCTACCAAGCTTTGTGTAACCAGTGGTGGAGGGATAAATATATGGAAGTAGGGTGGGTGCTTCTCCAAGTCTGAGTTGCGAGGATAACGAAATGACAGGTGCCGCTACGAAGGTTTGCGTAACTGGTGCTGGAGGCTTTCTGGCTTCTTGGCTCGTTAAGCTTCTTCTGTCCAAGGGCTATTTTGTTCATGGCACCGTCAGAGAACCAGGTCTCTTTTTTTTCTCCTTTTCCTCTTCCAGTTTCTGCCCATTCTGATTGTCGTTTATCCTATTTTGGATTAGGTCGATTTCTTTTTTTTTTTTTTTTTTTTCCTTTGCATGATTGATGGCATTGTTTGGATGGACTGTTTTCTGTTGCATGTCTTGCCCGAATGCATAAGTTTATGCTTTTTTGTTCAATTAATCAAAAGATTGAAGTGTTTTTACTTACCCTTGCATCAATTTCTTGAACTCCTCATGTTTGATTAGGCAATAAGAAGTATGATCACTTACTTAAGTTCGATGGAGCTTCTGAGAACCTTAAGCTTTTCAAGGCTGAACTCTCAGATTACGAGTCTCTTTCTCGGGCCATTGCTGGTTGTAGAGCAGTTTTCCATGTTGCTTGTCCTGTGCCTGCTACAGCTTTATCCAATCCTGAGGCAAGTTTTCACTCTCTGGGTTACGATAAACTGAATTCCTACTACTACTATCGTTTTATAGAATATTTAGGACACTTTTTGCTGTGCAAGCTAGTTTCATCAGCTGAAATTGCTTGTTTTGTAGAACACGTATTTGAGATTTCAGTGTTGTTTGATGGAAATTGCTTCCCAGTTGCAAAGTGAAAACAACCTCCATATTTCATTTTCTTCAATATAGAACTTGTATGTGGAGTGACTCCAGCTAGCGATACCATGTGATTGAAGACACTTCTGTTTTGTCTCTTGAGTGAACTCATAATGACATTTAGGCTGTGTTTGTTTGTCAGTCAAACCAATTGAAGTCTTGGATGTTGGGTTTCGTTTGAGAGTTGCAGTATTGAGAGCAAGCCTCCTGTGATAATTGGCACTTAACTTTTCCTATATGTGTTTTGACGTTGTAATCAAAGTTTTCTACAGGTAGAAATGATTGAGCCTTCTGTGACGGGCACTATTAATGTCCTCAAAGCTTGTCTTGAAGCAAAAGTGGAACGGGTTGTCTATGTATCTTCTCAATTTGCTGTTTCCACCAACCCAAACTTTCCCAAGGATGCAGTGTTTGATGAGTCCTGTTGGTCTGATAAAGAGTACTGCAAAAAAACAGAGGTCTGAAGCTGTGGACTTCTATCACATATTAGCTTTTGGTTTGGATCTGTTATTGGCCCTTCATTTCGAAAGTAACATTGAGCCTGTTTGGCTCAGCGATTTGCAGGCTAGAAGTTACTTTTTTTTTTTTTTTAACAAGAAGTATGTTTGAAACTTTGCAGCGTTTGGATGAGCGTTGGATCATTTCGAAAGTAACATTGTCTTTAATGGGGCATAGCATACTATTTTACTTAAAATTTTTATTTGGTACCGGTGCTTGGCAATTCAGTTGCTCATATATCAAGAATATTTCCTTACTCTCGTCTCATTCATGATTTAGAACTGGTATAACCTATGCGAAGACCGAGGCGGAGTTGCAGGCCGTGGATTTTGCCAGAAACAATGGCTATCGCTGGTAACTATTTGTCCTGGTGTAGTGTTCGGGCCAATTTTGCAGGCATCCACAGTCAACACAAGTAGCTTGGCCCTCCTCGTTCATTTAAAGGTGCTAGTTAATGCTGATGCCTTGTTGTTTTATACCTTAGAAACAACTGTATTGGATGTCATCTTAAGACATGCAAGGTTTTATTTTCACAACAGAATGAATTTAAGTTCCGTTTGGCACGAACATTGAAAATAAAAGATAGGGATTGGGATTGCAATTGAAAAAATCATTAAAATAATATTTAACATGAGTAATTACTCGTTACATGGGATTAGACAAACCCATAGAGGTGAGATTGGGGAATACCATTTCTCCCCATGGTATTTCCCAATCCCACATACATGGGTTTGGTTAATCCCATATAACAAGCAATTTCTTATACTAAACACTATTTTAATATTTTCTCAATCCCAATCCTAATCTCTAATTTTCAATGCTTTCTACCAAACTGGACATTAGGGTTGGCAATTTATTCTTCGGCTTCTTTATTGCAATATTTGTGTAAAACTGAAGGTCTCGAGTCCGTGGAGAATAAACAAGTGTGGTTAGTTGATGTGCGTGATGTAGCTGATGCAACACTGATGATTTATGAGAAACCTGAGGCAGAGGGCAGATACTTATGCACTGCACATGGTATCATGCCAAATGAAGTGGCGGAGAAATTAAGGCGTATATATCCAAACTATGCCTACCCTAAAAGGTAAGGTTTCAGTTCCTGGGGTTTATGAAAACACAGGAAATATATGCTCTGGTTTCTGTTCAGTATTTGACAGATTCTGTGTCTGCTCATGTGCATTTCTATTTCACCTTGTTTAATTTTACAAGTTTTATTACTTCTGCAGCTTTGTTGAAGTGGGTGATCGCATAAAGTTGAGCTCAGAGAAATTGCAGAAGTTGGGTTGGAGATACAGGCCACTGGAAGAAACACTAGTTGATTCTGTTGAGAGCTTCAAGGCCGCAGGGCTTCTGGAAGCCAAATGACTTTGTTTCTCTCTGTCTCGGGTATGCTTGGAAGAAGCAATATGGAATGTGGGTGTATGTGTATATTCTAGCGTAAGGCAGTGGTTGTCATAATAAAGTCTTGCCTGCTTGATGGGAATGGATCAAGACGTGAGTAGTAGTCTAGGGTTTATTTGGGTTTAGCTCAAAATAAGTTCAAGTTGACCGAAAGTGACTTTCTAGTCCTTGTATATAATCTTTTTATGGTGAATAAAATTGCTTTTTTATCAAAAGAAAAGAAAAGAAAGAATGCATTTGTTTTAACCAATTTTGAAAAAGAAAAATATGTATTTTGATAAAATAGAAAGGAACAAATTAACAAAACGAAAAGAAAAGTTGAATGCTGCTTCTTTTTTTTTTATGCGCAATAAAAAAATAGCTCGATAGTTTATTTATGATTAGGTGCATGAAAATAAAAAGCACGGTGTATGATTATGGTGCCCCTACCATAAAAAAGAATCAAATAATTGGTTGAATCCATTTGTTTCAAATTTTAAAAATGTTACTCTATTTTTAGATTATCAAGAACACCATCAATACCGGCCTGTTGGCCCAGTGGTGTGGGTGTGTGCGTGGGTGAGTGTAATGCGGGTTCGATCCCGCCCTCCTGTAACTCAAAAAAAAAAAAAAAGAACACCATCAATAATCATGAATGATATGATGTTCCTTGCATCCTAAATATAAGAATTAATTAAGGTATGATTTTTGTCCTAAATGTAATAGTATTAATTTAACTCATTTTTCTCCTATTTAGTCTTTTTTTTCCCCAAACTAATTCATCTAATCCATAAATTTATATACTCCTATAGTCCTTAATATACAACCCAATTAATTAATTTGGGTAGATTGTGGATATTAGTTAAATTAGTTAATATGATATTTTTTTTAAGACACGGTAATTATCTTCCTTAATTTCTTTCCTTTTTCTCCTACTTAATTATTATTAAGGTACTTGATTATTGTTAAGAAAATATCAATAGAGTTAATTTAGAAAAAAAAATTGATAAACATGTGAAATAGGTTTTACATATAAGATTAACATTCACTCTCAAATTAGGTCATATATTAGGGATTGAAAGAATATAATGTAATGTTATATAGGAATATTTTGGAAAAATCAAATCACCTTTGTCAAAATTAAGAAAATTATTTAAATTTCTTAATTTATTTAAATTAATTAAATAACTATTATATTATATTAAAAATTGAATAAGTTTGAACCAAATATAAATTTTTTTTTAAATGAAACAAACAAATCAGTACTAAGGATGGTAAAAAGCTTTCCAAGCAAAAAAAAAAAACACTTTAGGGTCTGTTTGAATTGAAAATAGAAAAGATAGCTTTTTTCAATTTGATTTTTAAAAAAATTAGGTTGGATAAAAGATAGATTAGATAATGTGATTTATATTTGAATCGACTTTTACAAAAGTTGGTTTGTAAAATAGAAAAGTTGTTAGGATTATAATTGGATAAGTAAGTTTGACTCGTAAGAATAACTAAAATGGATATAGCTTTTATTAAATAATAAAAAATAATTCAAAATATGAAGTTAAAAAAATATAATAATTTTAAATTATTTTAATAGGAAGCAGTTATATTTAATGAATAAAATATATTTAAATTACAAAATGTAGTAATGTAAAAAATTTTTAGGCAAGTAATGTTACATAATCATTGAATGATGTACTTTTACACAATTTATGTAGATATAAAATGAAAAATAATATTATAAATATTATAAAAATTTTGTTAAAAATTATTTTTATTTAAAAGAGTATTAAAATAAATAACTAAAAATCAATTGAAAAGCATAAAATATGTAATGAGAAGTATGAGAATGATATAAATATAGAGATAACAATGTCTTTTGATTTTGAAAATTTTTTACATAAACATAAGCCATAAAAATTACTTATAATAAAAAATGACGGCAAACATGATACTCCTCCGGTCCTAATATAGGACCCAATTGTTGAGTTGGTTTTGGTTCTAAATATAAGACCAATTTATCATATTTATCAATTTTCTCTAAAGTACCCTTATGGATACTCCCTCAACCATAATCAAGTAGAAAATGGAGTTGAGGTATTAAGAAAGATGATAGGTATTTTAGGAAAAACATGTCACATTTTTTATAATTAATTAACTTACTTAACTTCCTTAATTTAATCAAATTAGTTAAATGGATCTTATATTAAGGATCGGAGGAGTATTACTCAATTCCACTTTTGCTCCCTCAAACTTACTTTTGCCCTCCCTAGTAGCTTAACCAAACAGTCCCTCCCTCTCCTCCCTTGGCTCCCGGGAAATAAGCAATCCGCTGTTCGTTCCTCCTCGACTACCAAACAGCTCCGCCGCCGGGAAACCCCACGTTTCTATCTCCCTCGCTGAAGTTTCCGTCATCCAAAGTGAATGGCATAGAGCAAAGCTGAGAAATTCTCAAAGATGAAAACCTTTGATTCGACAACACCCTCGTCGTCGCGAACCGGCGATTCCCGACCCCACAGCTCGAACTCTAATTCATCTCCATTGCCACCATCAGTGTTCAGATTATGGAGGCCAGCTGCGCAGCGAAATCTCAGGAACCAATGGTCCAAATTATCGTCTTTTAGGAACCAATGGTTGTCTCTTTCTTCTGCTGGAAGATCTCACGCAACTTCTCTTGTCAATTCTCTTCTCTCTCAAAGGTAATCCGTAAGTAAGTAAGTTCAATTCTTCTCATTTTGGTAACTCAGTTTCGCATCAGAAACTAGAAAAATGAGACTCTGCCGCTGAGAATTATGAAATCTTGTGTACTGTATAATGTATGTTCGGGACTTGTTTCGGTTATGACTTTCATGACTCACACTTAAAACCGTTTTGAAAGGGCGGGAGGGAGGGGTTTTATTCACTGCAAGTTTTATCCTTTAGAAAGGACAAAAAGTGTTCCTGCTGTGATCACATTCCTCGATTCTGCTAGTTTTTATTTTGACAGAGTAAAATGATCAGAGGTTTTTGTCTCCAGGTTTCCACCTTTAATTGGTATCTACAAATAACGGTTTTTTCTAATAAAAAAAGTTAATTCTCTGATTGTTTAAATATATGATTCGTCTAAGGTGCTTGTAGTTATGCTCTTGTTTCATAATTGATGCAGGTACATGCCTAATATGGACTTGGGTGTTTTGAGCGATTGGCCTGATATAAGAAAAAGAGCTTGTTTCAAACTATCAAAGCAGCAGGTGGTGCTTATTTATATCGCGTTGGTAAATCTTGCTGGAGCAATTTGAACTTACATTAAATTATATTGGAGGCAGTTGCAACCGACACCATTCAAAACTATCTTTTGATTTTTAGGATATGTTTTTTAAATATAATGTCAGAATTAATAATACACATCTTACAACAATTGATTATTATTTGTCTTTGGTGAATTCTTCCAGCATGATATATTATTGTTCAGTGTAATTTATAACTTCTGTCATATTTTTATTATTTACTGCTGCACTGTTTGTGTCTGTTTCAGGAACTTTTGAGGTGCCAGCTATTGTCTACGTATAAGGACATGGTACATTTGCTATCCTTTTGTAACTGATAGCATTATGAGCTTGCAAAATAATGTAATGAACAACCATTGTACATGTTTTATTGTGCTTGATGGTACTGGATAGTTTGTTATGGCAATCATGCGCCAGATGTTACTGAATTGATTTATTGTGCATGTTTTATTTTTCATCCAATTTCAGGTGGCTGTAGTTAGTGACATTATCAATACTACCAGATCAATGAGATGTTTCTTTAAAGGAGCAAATAATAGTCCACTACTACAGTTTTCTAGTTTTTCTGAAGACAAGAGTGATTCTGGAGATGGTGGTGGCGTCCCTGTATTTTCATTTTTATCTATTGCCTCTCATGGTATGACTTTCTGATCCCCTTTGAAGAGAGGGAGAGAGCGAGTTTCTCAAATTATATGATTTCTTTAAGCAAATTATCAATTCTCAATGTTCTATGCAATTATGCATTGTCAGGCTATCAATTCTGAGGTCAAGTTTCCGTTGACAGAGTTATAGAATCTTGAAACTTCTGTGAATGGTAAAGGGAAATATATTGGATTCATCAATAACTGCGTGAGAACTGTTGAAATTGTGATTAGGAGCTCTTATTACTCATAAATGATGGGTGCTAAATATGAGAAATTAGAGTCTAATGATAAAATATGTTTGTTGGGCTTACAAATCAACATCATATTGTCCTTATTTGTACCCAACAAGATGTGGAGGAAAATATAGTACAATATATTATATGAGACATTTGATTTGCGCAATATACTAACTATAAAAGTTACGACTCTTGAAATTTCTCAGAGAAATTGGCTCAGGAGCTTGTTCAAATGTTTAAATGGGAGCTGTGTGTGAAGGTGAACTCAGCAACTTGTCTTGCGAGATATATATATATATATATATATATATTTTGCCCCATTTCATTTATGTTTTCTAACTGTCTGCCTTGCTTTTGTGTTATTATGGAACTTATTTTAAATGGGCAGCGGTTGCTTATTATTGAGTTCTTGTCCATTGGTTATGACATCTCACAAGGAAACCAACTAAATTGGTCAAATGAGCTCTATGCTGGTGAATTCGACCACTTGCAGAACTGCAATCTTTACTGTGAGGAGACCTGTGGGCCAGTCCCTCCAAGACTGAGGGATGGGAAAGCTAACATGGAAGCTCTAAAATTTGACAACCAACCTAAACCTGAGGTTTTACAGGTAGTTAGATATTATATAAATCGATAACAAGTAATATCTTTCGTAAGACATGATTATTGTGGTATGCTACATGGAGCTTCTTGCAATAGACAGGCCCGAATCTAGTTTGAATCAATTAGACAAGGCTAGGGATTTAGATTCTGGTTTGCATTTTATAGCCATGTGCTTTAATCCTATGAGCTCTAAGCCCCACCTCTCAAGTGAAGTAGGAGAGAAGGTGTTCCCTATATTGTAATTTGAATAAAACAGCCATTTCATTTTTCATCCTTATTATCTAGAGTACTACCCCCAATCCTTAATATAATAATCAGTTGACTAATTTAAGCAGATTAAAAAAATGAATTAAGTTAGTTATTTGTAATAAATATGTGTTGGCTTTCTTAAACTACTTTTGCTAATTATGTGTATTAGCTGGGATTATTGTTTCATAAAATCTTTAACATGTGTAGCTATTACAAAGGTTATCTTAAAAAAAATAGATAAATATAAGAAACAAAATGAATTGGTATCTTATATTTAAAACCAAATTGAATGTTAAATTAGTTTTTACCTTAAGAATAGGAGGTAGTAATAAAAATTAGTAAGCATCCAAACTAAAGTTTAAAACTACTCTTTTTGGTCCTAAATACAAGAGCTAATAGATAGGTTAGCTTTGGGTTCAAATATAAGATACTAGTTCATTTTATTTTCTAAATTTATTATTCTTTTCTTGAATTCACCCTCATGATTATGCATATTAAGAAGTTATCCAACAGGAGCACTTTCTAATGCAAATGACTGAAAAAGTGTTTCAGAAAACTAACACATATTGTTAATAAATAATCAACTTAACTAATTTTTTTAATATATACAAATTAATTATTTAGCTTCTATATTTTGGATCAAAGATAGTAACATGTAGTCTTTATACGAGTTTTTGCAGATTTATTTAACGACATGGCTTGCAGAAGTGAACATAGACACTAACAGGTATGAAGGCAGAAAATGCATGGCATGATTGTATATGAATAATGCTGATCAATGTACGTTTGAACTCTAAATGCATCCTTGTCTGCCTCCTTTAGGGTGGACGAAATATTTGCTGTTGTTGGGGAGGAAATGCATGTTAGCATAATCTGAACGGCAAAGTCTCCAGTACAGCCATTAGAAGCACATTTGGTCAGCCAAACACAACATTTAGCCATCCCGAGACTGGACTACAATAGGAAGGTAGAGCTGAGTTGACTTAGACATACTACCTTCGGTTCTTAAATACTACCTCCGGTTCTAATTATAAGAGCTAGTTAACTAGTTTGAGAAAATTAAAGAAAGAAGTTAAGTTAGTTATTTGTAATAAATATGTATTGTTTTTCTTAAAATATTCTTACTAATCAAGTTTATTAGCTAAAACTACCATTATTAGAAGGATTACCTTGAAAAAAATGCATAAATATGAGAGACAAAGTGGATGAGAATCTTATATTTAGGACCAACATAAAAGTCAAACAAAGTCTTATATTAAGGACCAGAAGTGGTATAAGACCAGTTAACTAATTTAGGAAGATCAAAGAAGTTACTAAATTAATTTAAAATATTCATATTTATTACTTTTATCCAAATTAATTTTCTTGAATTATAAATTGATATAATATCTAATCATACACATAAATATTTTAGAAAAATCATATAACATATGTTATAATTGACTAATGTAATAACTTTCTCACTCTTTTTAAGTGAGTTAATTATATTTTATATTAAAGAGCTGGGGTAGTATTGGTTTTTCGGTGCAATATAACAGAAAACCAAAACAAATGATCATAACTTGTCTGAGCTTCGCGACAGCACCATGATGCTGATGAAAGGAGGTTACAAGTTGGCTGTGAACTCTAGAAAGTGATATCTTAATGTTGGTCCTAAAGAAAGAAAACTATATCTTGTGAAACTGTATAAAATTATTGTCATTTTTCATAAATTGTCTTACAAGATGACGCGTCCAAAAAATCAAGCGCCATCCACTGGAAGAATAAGAGGATTAGATAGATTCATCAAGAAGATTCAGAACATTTGGCGCCTTGATAATGAAATTTTAAGTTCTCATGATCTAGCAACTACTTATACTGCATTCTTCCGGTTCTTAATATAAGATATAATTAATTAATTTGAACAAATTAATGATGTTAGTTAAATTAGTTAATATGATTTTTTTAAAAAACATCCTAAGTATATTTTTTTAATTTCGTTGCTTTCTCTCATATTTGATTGTTGTTAAGAAAATATCAATAAGATTAGTTTAGAAAAGAAAACGATAAAGACGTGAAATAAGTTTTACATATAAACCTGATATTAACTTTTTAATTAAGTCTTACATTAATAATCGGAAGAGTATAATATCACTTTGAAATTCTTTTGCAAGTGAACTAGCCTAAAGTGAAAATTTATTGAGGTCAAATGTTAAAAATAACCTTTATATGAGTAAATGTAATATGACCATCATATATTAATTTGCCAAAATTTGAATACGTACCTGTGCTAATTGAAGAACTGTTACATGCCAATTTTTAAAGGTATCTTGAATTGTACAAATAAATTGCGACATGTAATAACCAGAAATTGGCCTGTATCAAAAAGGTTTTTGACATCCTTTTAAAAGTCCCAATTCTTTTTTTTCTGTATAAAAAATTAATTTTCTTTTCTCTTTAGGAGATGGATTTGAATCCTCTTTAGAATACTCTCTCATTTTCTACCCAAAATCTCTTCTCGACCCTTGAATAAAAAAGTTAATGGTTTAGATGTTAAATCGTATAAAATATTATTATAATATCATTTAAATATCAATAAACAAATTTAAACAATTAAATTTAATCTCGATAATTTATACTTGTAGTACAAAAAATTAATTTATAAAATATTATAATTATAATAATAGTCATATAAAATGTTGTATCTAAACCATCCGTTATTGAAATATGAATTAGTTTGCATTTACAATGTCAAATCACTTTTAATTACCTCACCAAAGAAAAGTGGTTGATTCATTAAGCCTGTTTAAATAATTAAAAAAAAAATACAGTTTTGATCCTATTCAAATATGGCACCCCTCTAAATGACTTGCATTATGAACTAAAAATTTCTTCTAGAATAAAATTGTAAAGTAATACTCCTCCCACACTTAATATAAGACCTATTTAACTAATTTGATTAAATTAAAGAAGTTAAGTAAGCTAGTTAATTGTAAAAAATATAACATGTTTTTTTCTAAAATATCATAATCATCTTCCTTAATATCTTCCTTCTCTTTCCTACTTGATTATAGTTGATGGAGTATCAATAGGGGTTAATTTAGGAAAAATTGATAAATATGAGAAATATATATTATGTTTAGGATCAAAATCAATTCAATAATTAAGTCTTAAATTAAAGATACAAAAAGTAATCAATAACTCTAAATAATTTACACCACTCTATTTTTAAAATAACTCACGTGTACTCCCAGTCTGCAAATCAAAAAATGTACTAAATTGATTTTTTTTTTGTCGCATTTGCCCTTACTAAAGAAAGGGTATTAAAAATATGTTTTATATTTTTTTACATATTTACTTTATCTCTGTGTATTTATTAAGTCAACAAGAATAAAATTAGAAAAAACTCTTTAATTATCCTACAAATAACTTATACTACCTCCGGTCCTTAACATAAGAGTTAATTGACTAATTTAAATTGATTAGAAGAGTTAATTGACCAATATGTCAATATATGTGATAACTAAAATTATTATGTGATGAAACTTGTAATATTTGCAATTACTACAAGGATTACCTTAAGAAAAATGAATAAATATAATAGACAAAATATGTTGTAGTTTTATATTTAGAACCAAATTAAAAATTAAACTAGCTCTTATATTAAGGACCAGAAGCAGTATTTAAAAACAATTTTTTTTCCCTATAAGTAACTTATAAATAAAAACAAAGTGATATTATGAACCAATAATTTCTTCTAAAAGGTGCCCAAGGTATCAATAATTTCAAGCTGTATTGAGTTTTAGCAGTTCTTTTTTTGGGATAAAGCTTTGGGTTTAGAAACTACAAACTAGCACATCCTTTCTTGGCCACGCCTCTTGACCATCCTATCTTGTAACTCAGCAATCAATTTTCCAATGGGAATACCGAAAGTTATACGAATTTTGCTACAGAATACATGCAGTCAACTTCGCAAGATTGAGAAGAAATAATATCACTGAAGCATATCAGGAAGAGGTGATGACTGCCCAAGAAGAGATGAAGAGGCAATCAATAAAGCATATCAATATCAAACAAAAACCAAATGAGCTCCAAACTCAGAAGGAAAAAGATTTCTTTCATGAGGCATCACTTGGGGGAGACATTCTCTATTTATAACAATCTCGAAGAAAACTTTGATCTTCTCCAACTTCATTAACACAAGAAACAGAAAAACACTGTTTTCCACCGGTCATTACCACTTAATTACAATTGAAAATATAAAGAGGTCTTCACAAAGCATAAACATAATAAATGCAAAATACGAATTTATTGATCAGTTTGCCATGGATAAATGAAGACATATTTTACATATCAGGGAAGCCCTTCAGAGTCTATTAATTACTAACAAACACGGCATCCATGCCGCAAGAAGAGTTTTGTCTGGCTCTCACTAGCACGAAAACTGGGGGGAGCCATTATTTTTCTCAATGAAGAGCTTGAACATACCATCCAAGGAATAATATCAGCACTCACTTTATTACAGTGCTTCAAATTTATGTCTCTCAGTCTTGTGCATTTTTCCACCACGTACCTCACTCCATTTGATGTCACATTAAAGCAATTCTGCAACTCCAAGTGTGTTAGCCCACAACAAGTCTTTGAAACTATTGAAAGGGCTTCGTCATCAATCCTTGATTGCGACAAGTTCATCACCTCCAGTTTGGGTAATTCAAATCCTATCTCAAATCCAGTCACCGCTGCACAGCCAGCCAAGCTTAGATGAGTAATCTTAAGGCAGTCCCTTAAAGCTTCAAATACACCTTTGGTGATATTCCAACAAGTGTTTATGTCGAGAAGCTCTAAACTGGGACACACTGAAACAAACCCTTTGACATCTTCGTCCTTTAATTTAAAGTTACCGCCCAAATAGAGAGTCTTTACTCGAGAGTCGAAAACAAAATCCTTCAAACTATCGTCTTTTAGGCCTTCTGTCCCAAGAGCCGTCCTCTCCATTCTTATCTCACTAAGCAAAGGGCAGTTTCTTGTGAGAGCTAGAAATGTTGAATTGGTCAGCTTCGAAGAAAAACTGAGGTCTATGAAGGTCACATTACGAAGAAACAAAGATAATTCTCTCATATCTTGATCTGTGAGTTTAGCATTCTGAAGATCCAAGTATTGAACTGATTGACATTTTGCCAACAAGCAAGCTATTCCAGCATATGTATAGCCGGAACATTTACTGAGGATCAATTTACTCAATGGAAGATCGGCATCTGCCATTGAACAGAGCAACTCATCCGATACAGAGACATGTACAAATTCAAAAACGGTCAAACTTTTCAAAATCCTCAGTGAATCAATAAAATCTGAAATAATGGGTAGGCATAGATCCTTGATATTACTGAGGGAGATAGAAATGAGATACGGTCTCTTGAGGATTGCGGAAGCAACGCCCACTTGAGATAAGAAGCTGCAACCTTCAAGTGCGACTTCTCTCAGAAACTCACAGTTCGCGAACAGAGAATGAAGAGAGACATCTGTGATGAAGAAATTACCAATTTCGACTCTGCGTAGATTTTTCAGCCTCATAGTCATCGCCGTGAACCCAGAATCAGATACGGCAAATTTGTTATCAAATTCGGGGAAGCCAATGTCGAGCTCTTCAAGAAGCGGGAAGGAATCAGCTATGACGACAAGATCGCTATCCTGAAGGTCGCGAATATTGGAACAGATCAAAACCCTGATATTATCTCTCATCTTGGAACCCAATTTTCGCAGTCCGTCCACAGGAAGGGATTTCTGATTGGAGATGTCGAGGGAATCGATTGCCAGTCGAGATTTTGAAATTAGAGCAAGCACGGAATTGAGATCGCCAGTGAAGTTACTGAGATCGATGAACTTGAGAGCGGGAAATCTGACAAAGAACCGAGGAAGGAACGGAGTTGTTGAGTGGTAGAGGGTGAGAGAGGATTGAAGGCGCCTGGTGATAGAGTAGAATCCCTTGCAAACCAAAGATACAGAGTCGTAGTCACGGCGGTGCTTGAGTGATCGGAGGATCAATTCCCAGCATTCACAGGGCAGATCTGCCCACTCAAATGACATCTTTGGAAAGCAAGAGAATCAATCTCAGGGAAGTTCAATTCCGAAGTTGAAGACAGAAGAGGGAGAGAATTTCTGCATCAACATCCCTCAAATCTTTAAATTGCCCTTGTAGGGGCATTTACGTCTTTATACATGTCGTTATTTATTCCTTTTTTTTTTTTTGGCCAACTTTATTTATCTCCGCTTCCTTCCTACGATACCAACTGAATTCAAATTTAAATTACAATAGAGAGAAATCTTGTTATCATGGGTTTTATGCTGCCGCTCCCCCTCAACTTTAACTAGCTACTCTTTTTGGCCCCCTTCCCCTCAAAGAAAAAGTCAAAAAACTATCCCTTGCTCACTTTTTATAAGAAAAAATTATTACCCTCTTCTTATTTTTAAATATAGCAATATTTCTAAGGTTTTTTTTTTAAGAAAATTTTGTAGCTGGTTTTTCATTTTACCTTTATTAAAAAATTATTTTGATATTTAATTTTTTTATTTTTTATTTCTCAAATTATTATTTCTTAGATAATAAGTGTTCTGAAGATTATATTTTGATATAATCTCTCTCCATTACATATTATTTTTTATGATTTTTTTATTATAATAAATTTCTTATACTTATTCCAAAAATAACGATATTTTAGAGAAAAATTTTAATTTTTACAAATTTAATGTTTTTAACTAATTTTAATTAACTTTGTGATTTAGTTTAAAATTGCTTATAAAAATAGATGGAGGGAGTAATAACTAATAAAGTGAAATTTGATATTTTAAAAAATAAAGATACCTAAATTCAAAGGTTTTATGCTAAAAAAAACTTAGATCAAATTTTTTATATCTATTATGTTAAATTTCCTAATTGTAAATGACCATGTGTCTTTTGAATTTATAATCAAATGCTGTTAAATGTGAATATTTTAAAATTATGACATATGTAGAAACTTGAGATTATGAATATAAAATACTTAATATAAGTATTATTCTTTCGGTTTGGTTTATTTGTGAGACAAATAATTAAGGCAATTTGAAATTTAAACTTTAAATACACAGACAAGGGCGCCTTCCATTGAAACGTCTATTGATAGTATGTTTTGTTTAAAATTTTAATCTAAATGGCGTATAATTAAATTTATTTGAAAATTAGTCACTGATACTTCAAATCCAAACCTAATTTTTAAAATAATTATAACTGTTTATTTTTTTTACATAATTAAAATTATTACTTCTTAAAATGACGTAACTTTTTATTTCAAGATAATCCCTCCCTAATATTCATTTGTTAAGAACCAGATTTTTGGGGATTAATTAGTAATTTGGCTTCATGGTCTCGTCTGTTTTTCTGAAAAATAAAAAAAGGGGAAAAACTAAAAATTTTTTGGGGTGAAATGTCAGTTTCTTCAAGGAGAAGCATCAGATGGCGGGGGTAAGAATACTAGTGGTGGTGACGGTGCCTCTTGCGAAGGTTCTGGAAGGATAAACTCTGGCGAGGGCGGAGAGGATGCAAACGGGAACGGCTCTTGTGGGTCTCCGGGCAGCACAGGATTTACCGGCGGCGGAAGGAAAACATCCGGTGTCTCTGGCGCAGTTAAAACTGGTGGCGTGAACGGGAAAGTTGGTGGTTCTTCTGGAATTTGCGGAATCATCGGAGGTGGCAAGGTAATATCTGGCGTCTCTGGGACAGGAAAGGCTGGTGGGGTGAACGTAAACGACGGTGGTTCCTGGGGATCATCTGGGAGTTGTGGAGTTGCCGGAGGTTGCAGGGAAATGGCCGGCGTCTGTGGAAGTGGAAAGACTGGCGGCGTGGAAGGAACTGGATCATCAGGACCTACCGGCGGTGTTTGTGGTAAAGGAAACTCCGGTGTCGGGACCACGCCAGTATCCGGCGTTGTTGGGTTTGATATAAGAGGGGGCGGAAATAACAGTGGACCTTCAGGTGGTTGTTGCGGAAGCTGCGGCGTTCCCGGCGGCGTCGAGAACATCGGGACTAGTGGCGGTGCCGGTACGGATCCATCTGGGGGAAAATTCAATGCAGGTGGTGGAGGATGAGTGTCTCCGTCAGGAGGTGATACCCATGGTAATGTTGGTGTTGGTAGGACACCTGTCGACGGAGGAGTAAGAACAAGCGGTGGTGGAATTACCAAGGGTGGAAGAACAGCCGGTGGAGGGGACGGGGACGGGGACGGTGGTGGTGGTGATGGAACCAACGGCGGAAGTGGGGGCAATGGCGGTAGTGGAATCACCGGCGGGGGTGAAACAGATGGTTGACACGGTGGCGGACATGAAGGCGGCGGCGGTGATGGAGACGGACAAGGTGGAGGCGGTGGCGGTGATGGAGACGGACACGGTGGAGGCGGTGGCGGTGATGGAGACGGACACGGTGGAGGCGGTGGCGGTGATGGAGACGGACACGGTGGAGGCGGCGGCGGTAGCTTAGGTGGACAGGGACAAGCTGGTGGGGGTGAGGGACTGGGTAAAGGTCGGGGCGGGGATAGTGGTGGTGGGCACTTGGCCGAAGGTGGCGGTAATGAAACCGGCGGAGGAATCACCGGTGTTGGTGGTAGTGGTGGAGAAACTTGAATTACCGGTGACGGAGGAGGAGAAGTTCTTGGTGAATAGGAAGGGGTTTGTGGCGGAGGAGAAGCCAGTAATGGAGGAGAATGATAGGTTGGGATCTGATCAAAGGGATTATCCATTGAAGGATATGTAGGAAAAGGCCAGTGACCACATTTGTCGAACAGAAACAGGTAAAACTGATCACACTTACTTTCTCTCGTTCTTTTTCCTCCTCTGCTTCTTCTTTTAGTGTTACTGTCATGCCTGATTCTGCTTCTAACCCCTCTCAATTCTTCATCTTCTTTGCCTTTCTGTCTGGTTTCTGCTAGAGACTGGCTAGTCAAAAAGAGGGACACTAGTAGTGTCAGAATCACAACACTGTTTGCTCTCATTTCTCCACTGCATGTTTATTCATGGTTCTGTTTGATTATATATACCCACGCACACACTATAATGTAAAGCTTTTATGATGTGTATGAATGTGAGTAAAAGGGATTAAATGTGGTGGGTAGATATAGAGGAGGAGTGAATAGTGAGAGAGAAATGAGAAGATGAGAAAGAAAGGGAAGGGCAAGTATAAGAGTGGGATTGGTATGTGGAAGGATGAAGCAACCTATTCCATTGACACACAAACACACAGTGGAAGGAAGGGGAAGGTGGGGAGGGTGTGCCTAGTTGTATGTGCCAATTTCACTGTTGCAGATTTGAATATGAATAGTCTTACTGGTAGTTTAATGCTAGTAAAGATTGGAGGCACACGCATCAGGCTCTGCCTTATTTCGTGTCAATCCTTTAGGTCTTGTGTGTTTGCATGTTTACCAAGTTGAAAATTGACTGAATTGTTCGGCTTTTAATTTTTTGGCCCAACATGATGTGTTTGAGGAATCGCTTTTTCTGGCAGAAGCAACTAAGATTATGGTTTATGTCAAAACTGGTTTTGGCAAAAGGTACTTTACTAATGTGATTCTAAACGTGATAAAAAGTTGCAGAGAAACAGGGGAAGAAGAGATGGTTAATCTCTATACGTATGGAGTTTTGTACCAGTTGGGAGTTGGAATGGACCTACCTGTTTCTTCTGATCTCTTCTGTAACTGTTGTAATCCTATTATGATTAAATATTTTTATGGGACCCTCTTTCTTTTTTCAGCCCCAAAAACTCCAAGGCGGACAGCATAATGTGAGTTGTCTTTTTTCTTCATTCAGGGGGATGCATTGTGAGTAAATAATTATTGAGGCGTTTAGAGCATAGGATGTTGCATTACAACAAATCGGATTGGTCTGGCGGATGAGCTAATTTCTCATAACGTGACGAACTAAAGTTTGAATTCCTATCAAGAGAAGTATCTATACTTAGTGTCTAACAATGTCCTAAACATGATTGTTTCTAAGAGAAGGATACAGCCAAAAAAATGGATTAGTCTTTGTCGTATGAACAGCAGTTATGCACTATGCAGTGTAACAAGAGAGACAAACATACATGGTCCTCTTTGTTTTAACTTCTGTATTCCTAATAACAACATTCTAGTGTAAGCATATTATTATTATTTTTAATAATTTTATTCCAATATCATGTTTGGTTCCCCGTAATTATATGAATGGTCTTTTTCCTGGTAATCATCATTTCTTGAAATGAGGAATCCAAATTAATGATCTTAGTACATGTCAATTCTTATTCTCAATTTTCTTAAGAAAATAAGGAAAATTCAGAAGAGAAGGATAATCAATTCTTTTTTGAACAGGCTTTATTTGTAACAATTGGGGTTTGTGGCTAGGCATGGCACGATGAGTAAACAAGGTTGTAAATAATGCCATTATGTTTTTGTGGTTGCCTTGAGTGGGGAAACAATTTAAAAACCAAGGCATTTAAAAATTTAAATCCAAATTTATTTCATGCGCATGGCTTTCAGGTCCAATGTTAACTGGCCCGAGTTTTCATGATGATGGCCATAGAATATTGCTCATTTTCCAAAAACAGAGAGGAAGAGAATGAAAATGACAATTAGTAGAAGCAGTACAAGTTATGGATAGCTGAGGTGGCAGTTTGGCAAAATCGCACTTGAATAATTTAACACTTCTATCTAATTGCTTGTTATATTACTTGATATGCCACCAAATAGGATAAGGTATTAAGACTTATTAATGATATCTCAATTTCAGGAAATTTATTATTAGCTATTTTTATGTGGGGTCCCCTAGTAATTGTCTGTCTTTTTTTCTTTCCATATAAAATATAATTAAATATAAAAATTATACGAGAATTTTTTTTCTAAGTATAGATAGTATCTTATTGTAGATAATTTTATTTAAAACACTATTAAGTATTAAATGTGAGTATTTCTCTAAGCAAGAATTTAAACTTTGGTTTGCCATGTGATGAGAAATTAATTATTCTGCTAGACCCAACCCTATTGGTAATCCATGAGAAGTTGTGAGTAACGTCGGTGATGCGTGTTGTAAATGAGCAATTTTCTTTATTAGATTCAATCCCATTGCTTGGTATGGGGTCATTCTGATTGCGTGTATTTTATTTTGTTTTCCTTCTTCACGCTCTTTTTTTTAGTCAATTTGTCATATGGGAAACATGTCTTCAAATGTCATTTTTAATCCAATTATGGAACAAAAAATTTTCATGTGATCTCTTTCAAAGTGAAACAAATTGGTAAATAGTCTTCTTTACTATATACATATTAACCCAAATTAGTATTGCGATGGATTAATAAAAACAAGCAAGAGGCTTTACATAATCCTTTGGATCATACATAATTATATAATTATCAACAAAAAGATTGGATCAAAGGAAGTTGGTGACTAAATTTATAATGAACAATCGCGATAACTAAAATAGTCATAAGGTAGCGAAATTCCTTTTTAGGCACCACAAAAAGCGTGATTATATATGAATATGCACCCTAGCAATAACAAATTAAAAAGAGTGAACATTGTAAATAAGTTTAATATTTACTGTCAGTTTTGTTGTATCAGTCTTTCGATTTTAGAAACATTTTAACTTTTATTTTAAAGAATTTAAATTTAAAATTAAATTATAAACACTGTGAGAGCGAATGAATCTTGTAGATCGTTGTAAAGTTGTTGAGATTTGAACATACCAAATCATATGGAGGGACCTTGAGTTAGAGGACTGGTCTATTCTCAATACACACACACACATATATATATGTGTGTGTGTATGCATGTATATGTATATGAGAGTAAAAAAAAAGGGACCCGGCCTGTTCAACTGAAAAACTGGTGAACTGGTTAGTGGTCCAATTTGGTTCATGGATTAAATCAGGGACCGGTTCGAATTGGTCAAATAGGTGTGAACCGGTCATAATGATTATTTTGCTATTTGTCATATTTTTTCTCATTCAGTTCCTAATATCTCAATTATTATATATTTAAATGGATTTTAATGATAAGTTTGACATCAATAACTATTAATTTTAGTTATTTAGGAATCATAAAGATCAAAATTCTCAATATTGTTATATTTTATTATTGTTACAATTAAACTATTATTATATTTCTTTGTATTTTGTTATTAGTGATTATTAGCATTGTTATATTTTGTTATTTTCAATCAACTTATATTATTCTAATGTCACCGCTTTGATCCTAGGTTGACCCCGATCTGATCCATTGACCCTTGAACCACTATCTCAATCAATTTAGTGTCGGTCCGGTTTTTTGTTCCTTGATGTATATATATATCTAATTAATACTATCATTATCAATATCAATAATCATTGTCATTGTGGATATCACTTGTCATGATTATGTTAGAAAAATCTATAATAAATTGTATTATTTACCTTTTTTATGTGGTATTATAGCTTAATAATAGCCGCTTCGCGGAATGTGTATGGGCTAGTTGAATGATCAATTATATGTAAGCTAAAATTTTCAATATACATTTGATCCTAGGATGAGAGAGAAATATTTTAATTATATATTAGCAAAGGTTTATAAGTATAAATTAAATTAATTTTTTAATTAATTATAAGAATTTATTACAAAATCTTAAATAATAAAAACTCAATTGAATAAAGTAAGTAACAAGGGGTATTAGCCAAAAACTTCGTACGAGTAAAAAGGAAAAATAGAATTTTTCAAGAAAATGACAAAAAAATATTAGTTAAATTTTAAAATGATAAATAGGTGATTTTAGGATATCAAAATTTTCATAAAAATATACAGCATCACCTGTTTATCATTTTTAAAATTCATCAAGTATTTTACAGTCATTTTTCATCTTCTTTTGTCAACGAAAAATAGAAATATTCTAAAACAAGAACATCCTATCATAAAAAAAATTAGGAAAAAGACCTACTAAAAATTATATTTGTTAAAAGGGATGATAAAAATTGTAATTATTTAAAAACACCAAATACTAAAATATAAATTTAAAAGCATTAAATTACCCTTAGCTATATAGGAGAAAATATAGGAAGTTTAATTAGGGGCAATCTCATATTTTTAAATTTATATTTTTGTATTTGATCTTTTTAAATAATAATAATTTTTATGATCATCTTCAATAACTATCACTCCATCCAGGTTCTTCTCTCTAATTCTCCCTGAAAGGATATTCCTCCGGTCCTTAATATAAGACCCAATTGTTGAGTTAGTTTTGATTCTATATAAAACTCATTTCTCATATTTATTAATTTTCTTTAAATTACCCCTATGGATACTCTTTCAATCATAATCAAATAGAAGAGAAAGATGGGGTATTAAAAAAGATAATTATGGTATTTTAGGAAAAACATGTCACATTTCTTATAATTAACTAACTTACTTAACTTCTTTAATTTAATCAAATTAGTTAAATGAGTCTTATATTAAGGACCAGAGGAGTATGAAATTTATGGCAAGTCATGCTCATGAACCATGACATAATGGAACTCATGAGAACCTATCTATGGTCTAAAAAAGACAAGAACACAATATATGAAAAAACATAATTATTTTTCTTTTTTGTTTTTTAAAATTATTCTTATATTTTTTCCTCTCACACTTTATGACATTTCACGAACTGTTGATTTGAAAGAGCTAAATAAAGATAAAGCTCGAACTTTAACATTTGTCGTGTAACATGCATGTCCCACATGCACGGCAGGTTCCCCACCCGGTCTCTCTCTCTCCCCACTCCACATCTCACAGACTCATGTGTCCCCATAACTTTTGAACGCTTACCTTTGCATAACCGCCACATGATTTCTTCATTTCTACTTTCATTCCAATATTGCCCTTCTCTCTCTCTCTCTCTCACTCATAAACAAACAAACCTACTCATTTCAATCATCCAATTTGGTAGTAGATGGACTCAAAAGCGCTTTCTTGGTTTCCTTGAAAGATCCTTTGTCCATTTCTTCTTCACAGCTTAGTACTGCCAAAATTGAGATTCAAAATGAAACCCCAATAAATGTTTCTCTTCTCAAGCGTTTGAACTCTCATTCTTATACTTCTCCTCTGTGTCATTCTTCCTTAATCACCCAACTAAAGCAACATGAGTAATTTTATTGCTATATTCCTGCTCATTTGGGTATCAGGCTTTTCTCCTTCAGTTTCTCGTTTTTTTGCAAATGCTGAAGCTGAATCTCCAGGTACTGCCATACATCTTCAGGCACTATCTACTTGTTTTCTTAATGTTAAGCTTTTAAGTTTTCTGTTGGCTTTATGCGTTGATGATTTACCATCAGTTCGAAACTTAAAAAGCTCAAAGTTATTCCCACCAAAATCCCTGGTCTTCACCTTCTTTTTGGGGCCATAAATCAGTGAGAAATTCGGTTGAGGTACACTATTAACTTGCTGTATAGAAGATAACTTCTATCTGGTTTCTGAAAAGAAGTTGTGTTGCAGGTCAACAAACAGAAAAGAGGTTAAGCCGCAATTTACCATTTGAGGAAGTAAAATAACTATGTTTTCTTTCTAAGCATTACCATTTTCAGCCATAGATCTGATGATGAAAGTTTATTTTCTCTTTTTGCTTAATTATTAGAATTAGACAATAGAAAGCTGCTCACTTTCAGAGGCTCTCCTTCCCGCCTGTTGATATTATTGTCAAGTAATTTCTCGAAGCTGATGATACAATTCAATTATGTGGTTCACCTGAATCACTCTCTCCCCCTTATAATCATGTGTCATTGCCATTTTTATTGAAGTTTTGACCGTATTTAATAATCTATGTGTGCTTCTTGATCATGATATATATGTGGTTTTATCTTTCTTGTTGAACCAGGTATTGCGGACGTTAGAGTAGGGCACCACCAGAATTTGGACAAGAGAATTCTAATAGCACTTATTGTTTGTTCTGCTCTTCTTGTCTCAATCTTCCTATTTTTAACATATATCTGGTGTCATCGACGCAAAATTTTCAAAGTTCCCAGTTCTAAAAGCCCTGAGACCATCGGTATCTATATCTTTTTGCATGAAAAACTCTTTCTTTCTATCTGTAGAACATGAGTGCAGATAATTTTGCTTTTCCGCCGCTCATTTACATGTTTATTGAATTTGCAGAAGCTGCAAATGGGGTGTCACTTAGCCCTGTTGATGTTAAATTTAGTTACTCAAAAATGGCAGAAAAGAAGAGTGCAATTGCTATATTTGACTTTCAGTTGTTAGAGGTTGCAACAAACAGCTTTGCCAAAAGTAATATTCTGAGTGAGAGTGGATCTAGGCTAGTGTACAGAGCTTGCTTTGATGAGCATCTCAAGGCAGCTGTGAAGAAAGCAGATAGCAGTGCTGATAGAGAATTTGAGGTAAGGGTCCTTTTATTATTTATATTACAATCTGTTTTTCCTGAAATATGATTTTGCTCTTTACCGAGTTTGCCTCCAATTATTGGATAAATTTGCAGAATGAAGTGAATTGGTTAAGCAAGATTCGGCATCAGAATATCATTAAACTTCTTGGTTACTGTATTCATGGTGAATCAAGGTTTCTTGTATATGAAATGATGGAGAATGGATCTTTGGAAACTCAATTACATGGTATCAATTCTCATTTATTTCATAAGAGGAAGTAGTATAATACTATATATAGGGTTCATAAGCATCATATGTTTCATTTGTGTTCACAACTGTAGGACCTGATCGTGGATCATCTTTAAATTGGTACCTCCGGTTAAAGATTGCCATTCATGTTGCCAGGTAAGTCTGGGAATCTTACTGTGACAGTATCTGATGTTGAATCCTTTGTTTTGATTACATAGGCTGATCTAACAATCTCTGGTTCTGTTAGGGCATTAGAACATCTTCATGAGCACTCTAATCCTCCCGTGGTTCATAGAGACCTAAAATCTTCTAATGTTCTCCTGGATTCTCACTTTAATGCCAAGGTCAGATCCAAAATCATTTGTTATTGCATGTCTTTGTAACCTAACTGTTTACTTAATGCTCGTTTTTGCTGAATTTTGATTGATTCAGCTATCAATTTTGGGCTTGCTGTAAGTTCTGGAATGCAAGACAAGAACATACAGATGTCAGGAACTCTGGGTTATGTAGCACCTGAGTACATATCACATGGTACATACGAAGTATTTGTCATCATCAGAACAAATAGCTTACTCCTTCCTTAACTATTTTCTTTAAATCAAGTAGATCTTCTCCTTCTTTGGAATTTACTTCATGTACTTCACTGCTCCTCCTGTTTGTTATCTTCATTTTCCCATTTAGAAATATTTTTGTGAAGTTTCTACAGATATGAAGTATTTAGAAATATTATAAGAGGTCTTTTTTTAAGTATGACTTCGAAGACGGACACGGTGTCTTGTGTTGTAAATTCAGTATAATTTTCTAGCATACTAATTTCATAGTCATTTGTTGATGTGTTAAATCTATCAAGTTAATCATAAGCACAATATTATCATGAAAGTGGTCTTCATTTAATCTTGATACTTCTAAATGCCGAGTGGTGCATAAAGTCAGATTTATTTAGGGACGAAAGCTTTTTTTCTTTTTCTTTTGGGAAAATTATCTTCATCTTGAGAAAAGAAAGGAAAGGATGCCTTCCATTATTTGAGACTAATTTTCAATGCATCATCATGCTTCTGTCAACAATTCTGAGAACCCAAGAAACTGTTAATTTATGCCGTTGTCAGGGGCAAATGAAAATCTTATATTTTCAGGTAAGCTAACTGATAAGAGTGATGTATATGCTTTTGGGGTTGTCCTTCTAGAGCTTCTAACGGGAAGAAAAGCCGTGGACAAGATGTCCTCAGACCAATACCAATCCATTGTCACATGGGTATGTTAATTTCACACTATTAAGGGTGTAATATATCCTCAACTTAGCTGAAAATTCTTCAGTTCATCGGGGCTTGGTGATTTATTATAAGCAAAAAACCTATGACTTGCATGCAGGCCATGCCTCAGATAACTGACAGATCAAAGATTCCAAGTATTATAGATCCTGTAATCAGAAACACCATGGATTTGAAGCATTTATATCAGGTTCATTGATTAGAAGCACCATAATCACAAGTTTTCTTTCATAAGTACTAATGATTGCAAGTTCTATAACTAGTATCAACATTCTGCAGGTTGCTGCAGTGGCTGTACTTTGTGTACAAACAGAACCAAGTTATCGGCCGCTAATAACTGATGTCCTGCACTCTCTCATCCCTTTGGTACCCACGGAGCTGGGAGGATCACTCAGAGTTTCAGAATCAGTTTGCTCCGAGAATTTGCATTGATTTTGGACGTGTTTAAAACTCTGATATTGCTGCAAAGTTTCATGTTTTTGTGGTGACAGGGCATGTCATGATAGTTTGCAAATCCTAGTGAAGCTTCAGATCGCATACTATTTTAGGACACTGTCAGATGAGTTATTGGTTATCTAGTCATTGTTGTTGCATAGCAATCACAGCCCAAGCTGAAAGAATCAGTCTTTGGTTTTCTTCTCTCCCAGACATTTATAAATTGTAAGTGAAATATATGGTTCTCATATAGTAAGTTTAAAATACCCCCCCGGTCTCTGTTGTAAGGTGCTTTTTAGAAAGATTTGATGGTCTTGTAATTAATACTTATTTTTCAATTTTGTTTCTGTAATTAATATTTAAATATAGCTTTTTGTACTTTTCTCTCATTCAAAACCTTGTAAATAGGCATAAAGTTAAAAAATTTTATTAACTTAAGACAGATTTAATGATTTAACTATCATTTGTTGATTCGTATGAATTAGTTCAAAATGCCTAATAATAAAAACCAGATAGTGTATCAAATGTGCTTTGGGAACAAGGGAGAAATGCATTCTTCCTCATGAAATTAAAGTTTAATTCTAGTTATTGTGTATCAATCTTAAGTGTTACAAAATGCTTTGACTTCAAATAAATTCTAAGACCAACATTTTTGTAAAATCAAATGTAGGTCTTATATATTGCAGTATAACGAACCGGTTGTATCATTCACAACTTATGAAATGTGTAGTTTGTTAGAGTTAGTATATATTATATTTGACGTATTGGTTGTTTAGCTTTACAAGTCAAGGTTCCGTCAAAAGCAAACAAAACAAAACCTTACAAGTCAATGTTCAATATAACTAGATAAATTCTGCCAATCTGCGGATGCTCTTAATCGCATAGTTTTCAACTTTGTTATCTGCTAGCTGCCAAATTTCCATGAACCTTAACGATCCATCCAGTGCTCCAAATGGAATTACAAAGAGAGACTTGATTTTCTTTTTTTTTTCCTTTTTTTTGGTTTTGGAAGAAGAGATTTCATTAATGATATTTGAAAGTTAAATCCGATGATGAAACGAGAAATTTGTCTCTAATACACAAGGAAAACAGCAAGAAAGTTCTATAATACTGAAACTATAATCTGACAATTTTTTTTTTCAAAGCATCAATGGATTTCCTTGAGATTCACTATCAGGGCTGATGATTTCCAGACAGAGATTCGGATATTTCTAAATTAGCTTTGGCTTCCACGGACAGGAGACACAAGACGCACCCAGTTCATCCATGTATGGAGGAGGGGGAAAGCTGTCTGAAACTTCTCTGACAAGAACAAATGGATTTTTTTTTAATTGAAAAAATAGAATTAGAAGACAAATTGATGAAAGAGCATCCTCTAGACAAGAGACAACTGCGTGATACAATTTATTTCGCCCCATTGATAAAAAGAGTATATGCATTGATGTTATCTATGAATGAAACAAGCAACAGCCAAGAGTTTCATGCATTATTGAATTCTCTATACTTATATGCTCCTCAGGTCTTCTCTTGCCATCATGGGATGATATCATTATTCTCCTTACATTGGGTTGAATTGATTGCATACACTACTTATTCCCTCATCCCACTTTTGCCTAAAATACGGAAAAACCATGTCAATTTCTAGCTGGATATGTACCAATAGTTCAAAAACCATCTTCCTTCGGATTGTTCATCCTGGTGGTCATGCTGAGTTCCATGATAGGCCTGTGCTTGCAGCAGAGATTATGTGTCGTAACCCAAGAAGCTGTGTTGCATATCCGCATGGGTTTCAACAGCCGTGGGCGATTGTTGCGCCAGACACCATGCTCATGCCTGGGCAGAAGTTCTATGTAGTGCCATTAAGCACCATGAGAAAGCTTCAAAGGCTTTCTCCAAAGCGTTATCCTTCTCCATTTCACGAAATTAGGAACGTCCAACTCAGCAACGAGGAAGATGGTGGTATGATCTCTACTTCTCGTATCTCCAGGAATAAAATTCCCAAGCAACTACATGGCAGCAACAAAAATGCAACAAACAGAAGAGAGAGATTACGAATCAGAAAGAGTAATTGTTTTTATGTTGATAATTGCTTTCCTTGCTTGTTTACTGGAGTCACAATTAAAGAAAAACCTGATTATTTGCCGAAAGAAACTGGATTTTGCGACAATGCACTAACCAGGAAGAGGACACAAGATTTGACGGGAAATAGCATAGGAGGCTCTCCTAGGCGATTATCGTCTTCTTTACTTTGGCAACCCAGTCTAGAGAGCATCACTGAAGAATGAAATATTGGTGGTTGTGGAAGTTTTGGATCATGATAATATTCAGTGACTATTATCCCCTCTGTTTGTTTTTCCTAACATGACCTTGATGCTTTAAGAACCACAATGCTGCTTCAGCTGCATGGTCTGCTGCTGTTTTCTTTTTCGGATGAGGGGAACCAAAGCACTCTACAACGGTTTTCAGTCCTGCTTCTATCTCAATAGTAACCTGGAACGTGAATCTGCAAAAATCATCAATTACTCCCCAAGATTGGCAAAAGTAAAATTTAATACCGCACATCACCTACTTCAGTTGAGAGAGAGAAAGAGGCAGCAAAATGAATCATGAGTACCCAATCATTCAATATCATAGAGATCACTCCTTTTGTTCTTTCTTAAACATGAAACCCTTCCTTAACTGTTTCACAATAAATTCAAAACAGCAAAGGGTTCAGGTACAACTACCTGTCAGACCTTTTCATCTGCATGGTCCTACAATTCATGAGAATTTCTACACCTAACCCTTACTTGTTTATAGTTAGGCCGTCTTTGATAGCATAAGTGGCATGGAATAGTATTGTATAAGCTATTCATCATATAAGCATTTTATACCATCATATATTAATCGCATCAATCTGTAATATTTGGGCATGTCTTTGACCATAGGATGAAAATAATATATAGATGTATAATACTACACTCATGTTATAACATGGTAGCAATGATAATGATGGTGGCAACAGGAACATAGAGATAGAGGTGTTAATAGAAGGCAATGGCAGCAAAAGTGGTGGTTGTGATGGTGAAGGTAATGAAGGTGGCAATAGTGGGTAACAGTAACAACAATGGATAAAGTGCTGGTAGGGTGAAGATATTAGCAGTCATGATGGTTATGGCGATAGCTGGAGTAATGCTTGTGGTAACAATGGCAGCAATGACAACACCGAGGTATATCTGATGAAGTTGGTAAGGTGATAGCATCAGTGGTGATGGTGCCACTAGCGGGGTGCTGGTGGAGGAAGTAATAGCGATAATGATGGGTGGTATGACAATATATTAGCAAATAAGGATAGTAAAAAAAGATTTCTTAAAAGAATTATACATGATTCCGTTTCATTTCATGGCTTATCTCTCACCTGTTGTATAGAAAGTGTAATAGGGCAACGACCAAATAAAAAAGTCCTAATTGTATAAACTTCCACAATTCTTCATGCATGCCAACTACCAAAGGAATATAAACATGGATTATATTTGCTTATACCATCATCCCATCCTATGCACAATGCACTAAACAGGGCATGAGTTGATTACAAATGTACATCTGAGAATTCATCCAATAAACTGGAACTTAATTAGTATGCCTCTGTGTTGTATAGCTCCAGTTAAAGTAAACTTTGAAAAGCACTCTTTCTCATAAATATACCCAACTTGCTCTCTCTACGAAGTATGGTTTTCTACAAAATGTTACTTTCTTGATGTCGGTCTATTTGTTTCATTGACAACTGACATTAAAAGGGGCCAACACAAAATGTGGCTTGTATTGATTCCCAGTACTTCCATTATTAGAAGGGATCAGTTGTTTATAATGGAATACAAAACAACTGCGCTGTAAAAATAAAACACTGCATTGTAGATTATTTACAGTTAAGTTAATTTAAACAATAAAATATCAAGAAGAAGCAGTGGGGCATACTTCTTTTGATGACTGGGGCCTTCCTCTTTGCAGCACTCAAATACAGGGGGCTTCCAATGGTTTGCAGCACAGATCTCATACAGAGTTGACCTAGCGGATCCTTGCTTCATACCTAAATCCAGAGTAGGAGTGTTTTATTATGCTCGACTGGCATAATTAATAATAATAATAATTAATAATAATAATAATAATAATAATAATAATATTCTATTACTATTACTATTACTATGTGAACGGATAACTACAAGGAGGAATTATTGACAAAAGAAAATTCGGAAAAAGCAAAAGTCAAAGGAACTAATCTCCTCTCCCCCACCACAAAAAAGCCAAAAAGGAAAGAAAACTAAGAAAAAGGTACTCCTGTCTAACCAGTCTGGCCTTGCGAAAGACGAAGAATTCGGGGAGAATAAAAACCATTATGGTAAAGAACTGGTGGGCATATAGTTATAAAGATTGGGCAATATCAGGACCATGCTTTATTATAGCAGAATTTCAAGGATATCTTTGACTTTCTTCCGCCAGAGGAAATACTCGAGGTTATCAACAAATATAAATAAATAGAAGTCCGAAGGAGGACGATGGATGTATACACCAAGAACAAGAACAAATAGAAAAAATAACTCAAATGAAATGAAATCCACGAGAGCCAGTTATGTACCGTTTTCTGCGGAGTCTGAATCAGGGGTGGTGTTCCCGCGGGTCTCACTTGTTTTGCCAGATGAAATAGAGTCAGAATTTGATTTTCTGAGTGCTTCTTCATATTTAAACGATTTCAGCCCCCGATTAAATTTAGGTTTCCCAAATTTAGGACCAGCACTGGTGCTAGATTTGCTCGACTTAAGCTGGAAAACCAAAATATCTTCAACATATAAAAGCATGGAAATTTCTACATGCCCGCGATTGGGGCTAGAGCAAAAATGACATTCAGGAAAAGAAAATTAAAATATTGGATAAGGGAACCAGAGGATTACGTTGAAGGAGGAGTTAGCGATTCTGGATGGCTCTATAGGGGGAAGGTGTTTGAGATTAATAACAGAATCTCCCGGGTGCGAGTAATTCTTCTCCATCTTCGATTCGTCGACGCCTTGTCGGTGCCTTTTAGATCTGGAAAACAGCTGTTTCTCGCTCGAATGCTCAACGAACAAAGCTTGAGAGAGGAAACGAACGAATTTATTAGAAGCTAAGGCGGTTGTCTATGGCAGTTTAGTTGGTTGAACTGTAAATAACATCACAAGGCAACACATGATTAACGCTTCGGCAAAACGCACAAGTCATCATCAATATCCAATCCAATTTTCATATGTTATAAATAAAATAACTAATTTGGCCCCAAAAAAAAAAATTATAATGAGGTCCTAAATAAAGAAAACAATTAAAAAACAAATTCCAGAAATTATCATTTTCACTGTAAAATTTATCATTATAGGCTGCTTAGGTTGTTATTGAAATTTTTTAGTAATTATTTTTCTTCTATAAAACTTGATTATAATTCTCCTCAAAAAAAGTAAATAAAATAACTAATTTAATTAATCCTCTCCTCCTCGTTAGGGTTAGGGAAGGACCTGACCGCTTTGGTATGAAATTGCTTGCTCCACTGCCAAAATTTAATTAATTTATGTGGAGTAGCGGACAATGAACCGGATAAAGCAATGATTTATAGTTCAATGGTTGAACCATGGATGAATCGTCAATTGGTTTTAATTAAAAGGGAAATCTCAAAAAATTACTTTTTAAACTTTAAAATTTTGAATCAATTTTGTTTATTATATTTATTAGTAATTAATTTGAAAAGAAAATGATAATAAATTTTTTATAATAGTTATATAAAAATTTTAGGTTAAATTAGGTTAAAGTATATAAATTTTTCCTGAACTTTGTATTATATACAAATAATTTTCTTAAATTTTGAAATTTTATAATAAGTCTTACTGAATCCCTGAATGGCATATACACACGTGCACACAAATTACTATTCCCATTTGACTAATTAATTAGGAAATGGAATCTGTAATAAATGCAAAAGTGAGAACCTCTTAGGTGTCAATAAGTGTGATAGGAAAAAAAACATATTATCGGATGCTAATTATATGTAACAAATTCTCATTTACATATAATGGATCCTTACTTGTACATGACGGATCTTCACTTGTATATAACTAATTGTATATGATGTATGCTCATTTGTATATAATTTATTGCACATGATAAATGCTCACTTGCATATGGTGGAACCCAACTTACATATAGGTTTATTGTGTAATACGAATGCCAGTTACGTGTAACGGATGGTCATTTGTATATGACGGATACTTATTTACATATGATGAATCTTTACTTGTATATGGGTTTATTGCATAATATAGCTGTTCATTTGCATATGACAGCTGTTCATTTGCATATGACAAGTCCCCACTTGCATATGACAGGTTCCTATTTGTATATGAGTTTATTGAATAACACAAATACTAATTTGCATATGACAAATGTCCATTTGCATATGATAAATACCTACTTGCATATGACAGATCCTTATTTGCATATAGGTTCTTATTGCATGTTAATACTTAATACGAATGCTAATTGCATATGACGAATCCTCACTTGCATATAACGGATCTCTACTTGTATATGGGTTCTTATGTTATTGTGTAATACAGATTCTAACTACATATGTAAGTGAGGATCTGTCATATGCAAATGAGGATTCGTCAAATGCAATTAGCGTTTAAACTATAATTTTTGGTTCTTTAAATTTGTTCTTATTTTGGTTTTGATCTTTCAAGTTTTAAATCGTAGGTTTTGGTTCCTCAAATTTCTTTTCATTTAAGATATTTGTTTCTATAATTCAATAAAAACTTATATCATTTGCCCATTAAGAGACTAAAACCTATTGTTTGAAACTTGAGATATCAAAACCAAAATAAAGGTAAATTTAAAGCATCAAAGTTTATATTAACCCTAAATTTAATATGAAAACACCTTAAATGTAGCTTTATCCTCAAACATGCAAATATAATAATATGGGCAGGTTTTAGATGTAAAATGACAAGTATTAAATGAAGAGTTCCAAGCTCTCCAAATCTCCCCTCCAACAAGTTATTGCAAATGTTTAAGAATTTAAGGAGTTTATTTGCATATAATTTATGGTTGACCAAAAAAATTTTAAAGTTAATAAAAAAATAAAATATAAGGAATCTTTTTGTTGCTTTCTCATTACGGTGTGTCACGATGGAGATTAAAAGAAAAACCCATTGCCCAGCATTCCCTCTTCCGCCTCCCTCAGTCCTTGTAAAATTTTAAATTTTTGTGTCAAAATTATATGCATGAAAAAAAAAATAGATGAATGAAAAACAGAAACAAATGAACATGCACATTGCTAACTAATAAAGTAAATGAATAACCAATTATTTAATATTGATATATTTAATTGAATTGAATTATTTGAATAAATAGAGGTAATAATAGTATAACATTATTAATACTAATTTCTGTTAATACTTTAATTGTAGCTTTATATGGAACAAAAAGAAAAAGTAGCTGAATGAATGTGAATGATATCCCATGTGGGATACTACTTCATGTTGTTATGTGATTAAAAAACTTGATATAAGGAATTTAACCTAAACATGTGCTAATAATATCCAAAATTTAGGTTTAATTATATTTTATATACATTTTTATTTATCAAATATGTCTAATAAAGTGTTTTTCTAGTATTTACAAATTTCTCTCAATCAAACACTAACTCTTTTTATTTTATAAATATAATTCTAATTTTAATGTTTTTCTTAAGGTTATAAAATTACTAGTTAATATATATATTATACAAAACTCATTTTACATTTAAACATGATTTTCAGCTGCTTGGTCTGCTACTGTTTTCTCTTTGAATAAGAGGACTCAAAGCATTCCACAATGGTTTTCAATCCTGCTTCTGCCTCAATAATAACCTTGAAGGTGAATATGTGGAAATCATCAATTAGTCTCCGAGAATAACATAATACTTCTCCGTCTTTAATATAGGACCTAATTGTTTAATTAATTTTGATCCTCAATATAAGATCTATTTCTCATATTTATCATTTGTTCCTAAATTATCCTTATGATATTCCCTCAAGCATAATTAAGTAAAAAATGGAGAGAAGATATTAAGGAAGATAATTATAGTGTTTTAGAAAAAAATATCATGTTTCTTATAATTAACTAACTTACCTAACTTTTTTAATTTAATTAAATTAGTTAAATAGATTTTATATTAAAGTTCGGAAGAGTATAATTTAATACTTCAGTTGAGAGAGAAAGAGAGGCAGAGAACTTAATCATGAATGCCCCAATCATTAAATATTATAAAGATAACTTTCTGAAAAAAAAAAAAAAACTTTCACACAAGCTAAAACAAAATTTTCACACAAGCTAAAACAAAATTTCCATGCGCCGTAAAATCAACAAGATAATCCAAACACTCTCATAACCATTTCACAACAAATTCAAAAACACTGCACTCTAATTTTTACTGTGTAAAATATCTACCCGAAGAAGTGGGACATGCCCCGGGGTATGATTAGGGCCTTCCTTTTTGCAGCACTCAAGTACAGGAGGCTTCCAATGATTTGCAGCACAAATGTCATACAGATTTGACCTTGAAGATCCTTGCTTCATGCCTAAATCTGTATGAAGGAATGATTGAACCAAAACAAAACAAAAAAAAAACAAACAAACAAAAGGACAAAAGCATAAGTCAAAAGAACTAGTCTCCTCTGCCCCAGCCCAAAAAAAGTCAAACTCAAAAGAAAACTAAGAAAAAGGTAAAAGCTTTTTGTTTATTACTATATGGTCTTTGGGCAATATCAGGTCCCTGCTTTTATTACGGCAGAATTTCAAGGATATCTTGAACTTTCTTCCCCCAGAAGAAATACTCGGGGAAATCAATAAAAATAAATAAATAAATAAAAGTCTGAAGGAGGAAGATAGGTGCATACACAAAGGGAAAAAAATAAATAAAAAGACAATAACTCAAATGAAATGATATCCTGGAGAGCAAATTCTATACCATTTTTCTCCTGTCTGAAACAGAAGTTGTTTTCCCATGGGTCTTACTTGTTTTTGCATTTTCTGCAGAGTCTGAAAAAGAGCCAGTGACTCTGGATGGATCTAAAGGGGGAGTCTTTGAGATTAATGACAGAATTTTCCCAGGGCAAGTAAAACAGTAATTAAACTGAAGCAATAAAATTTTGCTATGGAAATATATATACTAGTACTATATATTGATGAGAGAGAAACATAATATTTACATTGATATCCATTGATTAGGTAGCCCCGAGGAGGCAGGAAATTGAGATGTATAATTTTTATGGTCATAATATACAGTGAAAATTATAATTATGCTTGAAATCGGATCATTTTTGGTTGTGGGAGGTCTTCTTCAACAAAGCCGAGCGAAGCTTTTTCACAAGTTCCTTCACTGTTGTTTTGTGTTCCTCAACCTTCAAACACCACCAAAACAATCCCATATCAAATTGAGCTTACATGCATATATATATATAGATCCTAACTAAAATTCTACAACAGCTTCACCTTTTCCTAACTAGTATTTCCCATTCACAATAGGTCTATTTAGATTTGCAGTAAAAAAAAACTTATTTCTAATCTGACTTTTAGAAATTAAATTGAGTAATGTGATCTATGTTTAGATTAACTTTTATAAAAGTTGGTTTATAAAGTAAAAAAATTATTTAGATTGTGACTGAATAAGTAAATTTAGTTTGTAAAGTGACCAAAATAAGTATAACTTTTATTAAATAATAAAAAATATTAAAAACATGGATTTACAGAAAATAATGATTTTAAATTATTATAATATGGAGAAGTTATATTTAATGAATAAAATATATTTAAATTATAAATTATAGTAATATCAAAATTTTCGAACCAAACAATATTACATAATTAATTGGATGATATACTTTGCATAATTTACATAAATATAAAATAAAATTAATATTAAAATTAAAAATATTATAAAAACTGTTAAAAATTATTTTTACTCAAGAAAATATTAAAAGAATATATAGAGAGAGAAGCATAAGAATAACATTAAAATAAAGGCAAAAACGTTTTTTAATTCCAAAAGGCTATTTTTGCATAGGTCATAAATAAATTTTAAGTGCTTTTACAATTATGTTTAAAAAACAGCTTTTAACCCATAAGTTAGATTGGGCAACAACTCTAACTGATCATATTTATAAGTTATTTGTTATCCCTTCAAACGCTATACCAAATAGGCACAATATAACTCACTTTACTTATATTTAGACACATGATTTAAAATAAACAATTCCTAAACTTGAAAACAAAAAACACCATTTTGAAAAAATGCTCCTTTTTTTCAAATGAAAAAAAACAAACAAACAAGGTCAGTGACCCAAATGAAAAATGTTTGAAAAGAAAATTCTTCAGGATGCTATTAGAAAAATGCTAAGTTCCTGGGTGTCACCAGAAATATATTTTAAACTGATGGATGCGGAAAAAAAATATTTTAGCATATCAAGAATTACCAAAAAAATACTTCGGAATACTGAATCATACCCATTGATATACCTGACCAATTATGCTCAATGTATAAAAGGGATAGTGGGTATAGATGAATGTGTACATACCTCGGCTATAATGGTAATGTCAAGAGCAGAATTTCCAAAGGTTAAGACGCTAGTGCTGGTTATGGAGAAATGGAGACTCCTGAGATACGCCAATATATTAAGGAGAACACATTTTTGCTTCTCACAGTGGATTCTGATGAGAACTTGGTTGTGTAAAACTCTTGCTTCAACTTCAGGCAGTGCTTCGTTCATTCTGAAGCAATCATCAAAACTCACTGTTTCCGAAGATATTGTGTCTTGATGATGATCTTCTGATGATGAGTTGAGGAGGGATGATTTCTTCAGGCCTGACATTGATAATAATAACTCGCCACTTATCTTCTTGTTCTCTTCCTCTAACTCTCTTACTCGTTCTTTAAGTTTCTTCATGTGATTGATAGCTTCGCTTAGTACGGAGGACTTGTCAATCTGTTAATGCATGCATAAAAAAAGCCCTAAAGCTTTGTTTGGATCATGAGGAAAAAAATTGGACGAAAACACATGGAAATTAGAAAAATGACTAATTTTATAATGATGATAATACTTTTTATTATAAACATATCATTTCCATGCCTCTTTTTTCTCCCGCTCCGACCCTACACTCCTCTTTCCTTGTTATTTAATTTTTGCTTGCTATCCCAACAGGCCCCTCCTACTTTCTTTGCCACTCCTTCCGGTTCTAAATATAAAAACTAATAGAAAGGTCCATTTTGATTCTAAGTATAAGATCACAATTTATTTTGTCTTTTAAATTTACAATTTTTTTTCTAAACTCTCCTTATTGATTGTATATATTAAGAGGTTTCATCAAAAGAGTAATTTCTAATGCCAATGGTTAAAAGGAGTAGTTTTAGATAACCAACACATATATTTATAAATAACTAATTTTCTTAATCTTTAAAAATTAGTTATCCAGCTCCCATAAAGGATCGGAGGGAGCAGTTTTCTCTTCTCTCTCCATCCAATCATAGTATTAAACCTCAAACAATGATATCTGAAGGGCTACAGAATACTGAGCCCAATAAAACTGCTGAACAAAATGCGTGTGTAGAGAGAGGGAGAGAGAGAGAGAGATGTTAAAATGAGGGACATATTGAGAAGTGAATGAATTATCTGACCTTCTTCAAACCAGGGATTGTGGCTGAGAGTGCAATAAACTTCTCAGTGAGTTCTTGTCTCCTTTTTCTCTCAGACATAATGTGATTCAATGAATCAGATGAACTTCTACTCTTCCTTGTCCTTTGATTGGCCTTTGACTCACTGTTGTTATTGTTTTCTGGAGTCCGTTTCAGCGAAGCACGCGTGTTTCCAGGTATTAACGTTGAGTTATCAAAAGATAGAATGTAAGTTGACTGAGTAGATGATGATGAGGTTGCCGGTTTGTCAGAGAAACTAGCAAGTCCAGAGATGATCGGGCTCGGACTGTTACGCTTGGATTGGCAGGCGCCGGAGTCATTCAAGGATAAGCTACTGGCTGCGGCGGCACCGCCCACATCTGTGGTGGTGAATGTGTTGGTTTCGATGAGGGGAGAGTGAGTAGTGTCAGTCATGGAAGGGAAAGAAGGTTGGTGAAGGATCTGCCTGAGGAAATCTTCCTCATAAATTGAGCTATTCATGCTGAGTTCATTGAAAAAATCATTCTTATCCATATCCTAAAAGCAAAATCAAAGCACTAAAATTAGATTTCCAGGAAATATCATAAATAAAGGAGTATATGGAGGTATGGAACGAACATAGATCAAGATACCCTGAAAATAAAAGTTTGAATGAATGATTACCAGATCGGAGAACCAGTTCTGCCACGTCTTCTCCATTAAAATTGGAAAGATTGTATTTAGTGGCCTGACAAAAGAGAAAGAAGTCGTTTTTTAAACTGAAAATCAATTTTAAAAATAGCAGCAAACAAAATTTGAAGGAAAACTTTTATTTAAAAGAAAATTGAAAGTTGATTGTATGTGAAAAAAAATATTAAGCATCTCACGGTAGTTTTTTTTTTTTTTTTAAAAAGAACTATCCTAAACCATTTGGATAAAACTATTGTAGCCTTATTTTAATTACCTTCACCAATCACACGAGAAAAAAAATCAATGAATAGAAGAAACAAAAAAAAAATATTTACAAGAACTAGCACCCATGCATTCCTTCATTCGAATTTCCCAAATGTTTTAAAATAATTTGGAAAAAGAAATTTAATTGTTATGCCTATGGTGACTTTCTCCCCAAGTATGGTGACTCATTGTCACATGTAGCAACTTCTTTTTTTTTTGGGTGATAATTTTTAGGCCTTGGCCTTCTAACGCGAATTAAGTATCCAAGCAATTGACTAATCTAAACTCAAAAAGACAGAACACGTTGTTTAATAAGTTAGCTCCTCTACCTACGAGTGCAACTTGATTGATTTTATATACATGCAAAGATTCATGGATTTCACATTGTGTGGTGGTATAATTTAATGGTACATTAAAAACGTTTATTTTTAGTTTTATAAGATCAAATGAAGGTTAAATCATTAGAATAAAAAATTATGCAAGCGCACATTTATCTATATATTCCCTCCAATTTTATCTATAAGCTTTATTTTTGAAAAGGAGTCTAGTCCAATTTATAACTTCATTTTTAACTTTATCTGAACATTTAATAATTTTTTTTCAATTTTACCCTCAGATGGTTGTATTTAGTATTTTATTTTTTCCAATAACTATAAATAACATTAATTAGAAAGGTGACTAGCTTGATTTCCCTCCAATTATTTTAATAGTTCATTCTACTCTCTCTCTCTCCCCATATACTATCTCACATATTTTCTTTCATCATTTATTTATTTATTGTTTCTCTCAATTACTCTCATAATAAATAAAGACGTATTTGGGGAGAAAATACATTTCTATCTATTTATTATTTTTAACTAATTTTAACTCTTTGTTTATTAAACACGATTTGATTATTTAAAACTTATATATAAGAGCAAAAGGAGTATTAAATAACTAAATTTGTATTTATGTTATTATTTATATTTTTTATCATGTCCTTTTTAAAAAAAAACAAGTGAAAATGGTGAGTAATGGGATGTTGGAACCCAAATTCAAAAAAAATACTCCTTCGATCCTTAATATAGGACTCAATTGTTGAGTTGGTTTTTGTCCTAAATATAAAACTCATTTCTCATATTTATCAGTTTTCTCTAAATTACCCCTATGGATACTCCCTCAACTATAATCAAGTAGAAGAGGAAGAGGGGTATTAAGAAAGATGATTATGGTATTTTAAGAAAAATATGTCACATTTCTTATAATTAACTAACTTACCTAACTTCCTTAATTTAATCAAATTAATTAAATGAGTTTTATATTAAGAACAGGAGGAGTACAAATTAATTAACATGTATGTGAAATTTTGGCAAAAGTAATAATGTGAAAATAGCTTTAACTTCAACGATGCAAAATCAATTTTATTCTTCTAGCATCTTTTCAAAAAAATTTCATTAACAAGCGAACAGCTGAAACACATGATTATTTCTCGTACTGGAATTTATCATTGAAAACTACTCAGCTGTCATGAAATGCTTTAATAATTATTTTCTTTATTTAGGACATTATAGCAATTCTCCTAAAGTAATAATGTGAAATTAGCTTTAAATTGGAAGACTCGAAATCAATTTTTCCATACATGTTAATTAAAGATTTGAACCTATGCCAAATATGTTACAGAAAACCATTACACTAAACATCACTTTTAACTAAGTTGATCAACCAAGCCCAAAAACTTGAACTCCTTGTGAAGCTCTGTCTATCAACCATAAATTGATTCAAACTTCATTTCTCTACAAAAGAAAACCCTCAGGAATAAGGGCGAACGCTTGGTGAGCACGGAGAGACTATGGCAGAATGTCACACTATAATCCCCATAACACGAACTAAGATCAGGAAATTAACAATAATCACACATCCACAAACACGTTCCTTCGTTACAAATCTTGCATTCATAAAGTTTAAATCGAACATAGTGGGAAGATATTACGTGATACGTACCGTTGGAAATTCCCAAACCAACAGGCACTACTATCACAGCTCCTTGCGTTTCTTCCCCTTGAGGCTCTCCAGATTTTCTGAATCGCTGTTTTGATTTCAAAACCACTCTCCCTCTCTCAACTCAACCACTGTCTCGCTCCAAATCTACTTCTTCTGGCATCTCTTTATAGCCCAAAGCTTTTGAGTATCGAGTAGCAAGGATGAGAAATTAGAGAGGATAAATGGTCCAGCAGCTCGATTTCATATTTGTGATTGATGGTCCTGCCACTATATAGTTGAATGTGATGCAATCCTGCATGGCTTAAGCTGGAGGCTGATGGCGACGAGAGAGAGTGTGTCGTCTCTTCCATTTGCAGTGTCCAGCCATGAAGCCTTTTTGGGCCCTGGCATTCTATGGCTTAGCTACGAACATGGAAGAGGAAAGGATTAGGGGTTTCTCTCAGCTATGATCATGGAAGAGGAAAGAATTAGAATTGACGAAATATGTAGGATTTTAGGAGGAGCATGTGCGAGTGGGCTCACTTACTCTACCCGGGAACTCGGGCAGTACGGAGCTACGGATGAAGATAACCACAACAAGTGCCTTCTGGGAGTAGATCGTCTCGGAGGCGGGTTTCTCAACGTCTCTCGAAATCTTCATACCTTGTCCGTCCATTCCATCGTGAGCGTCCATAAAGTAACACGTCATGACATATTTAAAATGGCATCTAAACCGTTCATCCAGTTATAATCCTCGTCGTCCATTCATTTCCAGAATCCTTGCAGCCTTCACAAAAACACTTGCTCAGTCTGCTGTGAATTTCCAACCCCATCAATGGCGCAAACAGGGAGCTCCATAGTTACCGACGATTGGGCACTATGAGAGAATCACCATAGTTCTGTTGAAACCAACTTATTTTGTCAGATATCCATCTTAAAACTCTTCCTCCATATCTTTATCCTTCTTTCCATCCCTTTTGAATTGCACTTCTTCCACTATATCTCCCTGTGTTTTTTTTACCTTCCCGTTCTTCTTTCCATTTGTCTACTTATTAGAATTCCTGTAATTGCTCAAGGATATTTTAATCTTAACATGCCACTGTTTTTAAAGTGACCTGGCTTACTTTTAGTATTGTTCTATTCCAGCAAGTCTGCGAATCTAGAGAAGCTAAAATGAGGCAACCCATTCTGAATTAGCGTGGTATTTTATTTGACTACATTGTGAACAATTTGGAAATCTGTTTTAATGCAGCCTTATAACTATATTTCTCTTAATAATTTGAGTTTTGGAGAAGGGATGTTTATTTTTATAAACTATTTTTCTTTATTGCGTCTAGATTGAATTGCTTGTAATTAGGCAAATGCTAGTTCAATTTCTTTATTCGTTCGCTAGCAAAGACCTATACTACAACAACTAGTAAACAGCGAAGACATGTGACAATGGAGATTTGTCATGTTGTCTATGAAAATAAAAAGCTATTATCTCTCATTTAAAAGAAAATCAGCTCGTTTTACTTTACCTTGTCTCTCAGGAATAAAAATGGATAGCCACTAAAGTATTCTTGCGAATTGGAGAAGCAGTCAGTTGAAAGAAGGAGTAGTGTTCATGAATTTGTAGATGGAACAATAGAACAAGGAAGAATTTTGAAGCTGATGGAGGGAGCCCGCACAATTGCACTAGTAAATTGTTGGAGTTTTCCGGCCACTGAACCCCTAAAGCAATAGAAAAAGTGCGTTCAGGATTTATTGAAAATGGAGGGTGATTATTTATTTTTAAAATCTTGATGATGTGGTGTATTGTTAACTCTTGTATCATATAGATGGATAGGATTAAGAGCTACTGAGAGATTTTGAGAAAAGGGACAATGAGAGGATCCGTTCCTGTGCCTTGTTAAGCAGCAATGATCATAATACTAATTTAGGGTACTCCAACGGCCAGACCAGATCAGATCTAGTCTTGGGTGTGTATGGTTGATCAAAATAACACTTTTTAAAAGTGTTTTCATGCACTTTGAGGTAAATTTTTCTCACTTTGTGTGTCATGAAATCACTTTCAAAATAATGATTTGATTTTTACCCAAAGACCCATTTAAATTAGACTTTAATGTTTGTCCAAGAAAATTCTTATGATAAATAATTATACTATATTTAGTACTAAATAAATATAGCTTCGATTCTTAATATGAGAGTTAATTTGATATTCAATTTACTCCTAAAATAAGATTCCAGTCTATTTTGTCTCTCATATTTATTTATTTATTAAAAAAAACCCTTGTAATAGTTGTACATATTAAATATTCTATCAAATTCAAATGATAATTCTAACTACTACATATGATTAGTAAAGAAATTTTAAAAAAGATAACACATATTTATTAATAATAACTAACTTCGCAAACTTGCTTAATCTACTCAAATTAGTTAAACTCACTGTTATATTAAAAATGGAGGTAATATATAAAAGCAAATATAACTTGTTTATAGTTGGGGAAAAAACTTGTTCGTAAAAAGCTTATACAAGTGAATTATTTTGTTCTAGTACATGTGAAATTGAATTTTTTTGGCCTAAATTGTTAATAATGTCTGAAATAGTAAAATACTCTTCCGGTCCTGAATATAAGACCTATTTTATAAT